ATGGAAATATGTTTGAAAAAATATAAATATTTATTAATTTTCATGTTCTATGATGATATGGAGTGTATTGATTACTTTTTTAAGTTAAGCTTTTAATGGTCCTCGCGAGACATGTGAGTTTAATTCAAAGTAGGTACCTATTTCATACCTTTATTTATAAGAACTTAAAAATCCAAAAATGCATACTTCCAATGTTTATTCTCCAAAATGYYAAGCAATGACGATAGTCCAACGAAATAGTTCTACATTAGTGAATACCTTATCCACTTTAAATAAAATAATTAGTGACGGTTTGTTGCAGCGTTCGGGTTGGGGAACATAATATTATATTACGTCCGGCACCCTAGGACAAGTGACGTTGGCTCGTAAATACCGTCCGGGAAAGAGCATGGCCTAACCATGTGCGCTAAGGAGGATGGTAGGTACTGAAAASATTAGACCTTTTARGGCTCTCCGAACTGACGAGGACTACTCGCACAGCAGCTAGAGATTTATTAAACTTTCGACGGTCTTGAAGGTGATATTCGTGCGGTGTTACGGGCACTTTGCCAACACGACATTATGGGTACGATTGGCGCAGTGGCGTTGCGTGGAATCATCGACAGTGTAATCAGTTGMAAAAAATTGTACCCACCTATACCTATAATTTATTTTTACTATCCCTAAAAGCTGGAAATTTATCTTATGGGTTTTTACTTTACAAACATTATGTAACATTTTTTTCTTCTTCATCACACTCACATAAATTATGGTAAAATTATTGTTTATAAAATCATTATCAGTAGGTAGTGGTGAATGCAATAATTTAAAATGTATTTTTTTTTTTTTATTTAACAAAGAATATTTAMAATCTATGATACAAGGCATAATAAGCAAATTAAAATACACACTACACATAAAAATGTTTACAACCTGAACACATGAGGAGGGAGGCCATCCAGTGATAGAACCCTGCAACGWTATTTTATTTATTTATTAATTATTAACTTAACATAAATTAAATTAAAACTAAATGGTTTGAACCACCAATCATTTAATAAATGACGATACCATTTTCTCTTTAGACGGCGTGGGGGATTACTAGGAAGCGAGTTGGAAGCATATTCAGCGATTAAAGCGTTAGAGTGAGACTGTAATTATCATTAAGAGTGAAATTTTTTATTATGTTTTGTGGCTAGTTGGTTTACTGTTTCTATTTTAAAGTAATTTTGAAGCGTGAAATTTGATACGTACCAAGCCACCAAGGYGCAGAARAGATAATKCGGAGAGTGATAGATTGTAAGGCTTGGAGGGTACGTATTTGAGATGGTTTAGCGCATCCCCAGATTTGGATTGCATAATCCCAGACAGACCGTTAATAAGGATTTGTAGATGATCATTTTTGTGKGGAAGGGTAATTTTGATTTCAGAATTGAGCAAAGTGGAATCGACTATTGAAAATTTTTCTTTTTTACTTGATATGAGAACCCCAGGTCAATCTTTTGTCAATTAGGACGCCGAGCTATTTTGCTTTTGAGGATATTGGGATTGGTATTCCTTGAAAATAGAGGGGAAGGGGTATGGACTTTTTTAGTGGAAATGGGACATAAATTGATTTGTCAGGATTAATCTTGATTTTCCAGTTGGATGACCATTTGTCTATTAAATCTAAATGTGATKGTAACAAATGTACAGTTTCTACAGGATCATTACCAGGTGAGAGAATTGCTGTGTCATCACTTTGTCAGCATAGGTGGCCATAACAGTGTATTTGGGTTTTTAGGAATATCAGCCGTGTAAACATTAAATAAATCGGTAAAAAGGTCACTTCCTTGAAGAACTCCTGCTTTAATTGGGTAGAATGGCGATACATAGTTACCATACCTRACTATGTAAGTACGGTTTTCTAAATATGAACAAATTATCAAAAAATACGGAGCAGGTAAGAACATTTTGAGTTTAAAGAGTAGACCCTAGTGCCATACCTGGTCAAACGCCTGGGAATTTAAAATTTAAATATTATAAAAAAAATAATTTGTTCTGAGTGGTGTGTCACGTAAACGACGTCGGTTTTATAAGGTGTACGACGCATAAATTGATGACCGCGGTAATACTCGTTCAATTTTGTGGCTCTATATTCACGGTGATTTTCGAGCGTTGGCTCCTTCCATAATGTCATTGGATAAACCGAAGACAATACAGGTATACTGTTGGTCTTAAAGTTRCTGGATCGTCATGTAGCGGTTAGTCTGCGATTCGTTCCGTTAAGTCGKCTTCGTCCTGTGGTGGTCGGTCGTCGATTTGTTTTCTCCGGAATCGCTGGTTCTACTACAATGTTCRGTCCTTCGTTCCTTCAGCTGGTGCGTTGTTGATGGTTTGAAGGATGATTGAAAACTGATAATTTATCTTTTACTTTTCTTTGCTTTACTTGTGTGACTGCCTCGGACGAAGAGGCATATAGACATTACAAACATAAACAATATTATGTTAAATGAACCTGTAAGGAATAYCTAAGGCATATAACGTCACTAGCCAATCTKTAAATKATGTAACTCATCTTTATTTMTAATATAAATATTTTTTCTAGTTATTGTATTTATAAATGTTTATGCACTGTTCTATTGTTTCAACTGTTTAAAGGGCCCAGCCCGTGAAATGTTGATAAATAAATAAATAAAAAGATATTAAGAACATCTGTCAGTATTAATATTGTGAGATTTCGGTCTTTTTAGGGACTTACTTTCCACCCATGTGA